ACAGAAAAGCAATCGGACATATCAGATGTGAGCAATTTAGAATGAATTCAATAAATAATATATGCTGGAATCCATAAAGTCATAGACATGTATAACTTGGAGTTATAAATGAAATGTTTAATGGGCCATGAGAGCGGAAGGATGAGTGAGGAGAAGATACTAATATCTTCTCCGTCTTCTGCATATCTCTGACACCCAGAGTTTCACTTGCGAAAACCTGGGTAGTGGAAGCTTCGAATTTTTCTAATGGTACATGAACAACCAAGTAGATGTTTTCCATAACCAAGCTGGTTAAACTATTTTGTTCATCAAATGTTGCTACAAAACCCTAAAACTTGAACTTACTCTTCCGTTATTCTTTTATTCTGTGACAGGGATGGAAATATACCTGTTTCCGTTATTCAAAAATACCTGATGAAGAAACTGCACCTTGCCGATGAAGCCGAGGTGAGTTAATCTCTCCTCAAATTCCGTCTAATGATACAAATAGAAGAATATCTGCTTAGAAAGCAGAATTCCTATCGACTCTGATACATTTGTATATTATACTTGGGTAATAGGTGGTAAAATTTAGGCAAAGCATATTGCACTAAAGAAGCTCAATGGTTTCAGCTTACACTTCCTTTGGTAATCATTGTTGATGTCTAGCGATATGTATATCTGTCTTCATTTACAATTTGTCAGGTTGAGATCAAATTTATGGGGCAACCAGTGGTTCCGACGTTGCAGTTGTATAATTTAGTCCACTGGTGGCTACAGAGAGCTTCGACATCACGGAGAGTTGCGGCATCTGTCGGTTCATCTGCAAAGGATTTTATCATGGTGTTGGCATATGCTCGAAAAGCCCCACAGCAATAGTAATGCTTTCTTCCGTTCTTTACCCACCACATCAACGACATACATATATATACATACAAACATATCGTTATTAGAATCTTGTTGGTGATAAGAGTAGGACATTCGAATACGGTATCGTATTCGGTAGAAGCGTGTACTGTATGATAGTTTTATTTCATTTTCTTACATGCAAAATAGAGCAGTGTGTATGCGGGTAAGTAATCGGATTTAGCTATATCCTAGTTGCTGGAAATCATGTCATTCAACTGGTAGGATCTTGAATGAATTGAAGCATGTCTTTTTGGTTATATAGGGTTTAATTAATTTGCCCCTTTACTATGTTAAAATTTGAGATTTGATCTTTCTATTTTTAATTTGATCCTTTATTTTTTATAATAAATTTGAATTTATAACACTTTAATTGCTCTCGTTAAAGTGGTTATGGGAATTTTTTGTTGGTTCTTATAGCAAAAGAGTGGGGACACTTTTGTTACAATAAAATTAAAAATACCACTTTAACATAATAATTTTTTTTATCGAATTTAGATCTATTAATATTATTATAAAAAGAGATCAAATTTTATGATATTAAAAAAAATTCTAATATTCTACTATAAATGGGGGATTGAAATATTCTTAAATCTGATTAAAATGAGAACTAAAGAAATATAGAGTAATTGGTTTAATTATGGATTTCATCCTTTCACTTTATGAAAATTGAAATATTAGTTCATTTATTTTAATTTGTCAAAATTTAGTCATCGTATTTTACGAAATTAAGAAGTTAGTTTATTTTTCAAATTGGTGCTTTTACTAATTGGTTAATATTTTAAAATATAATTTTTAAAATTGATATTTTTTATTAATTTATTACATAATTATTAAACCGTTGACGGTTAATTTAATGTGAATAAATTGTTGAACGTTGATCGATAGCACATCTAACGTCTAGGTTTAACGGTATTACTCAATTGTAATAATTCCTAATTTTATAAAAATACATAACTAAAGTTTAATAAATTAAAATAGAAGAATTATCTTATTACCCCCTCTATCCTATAACTTTTGTCTTATATTGACCAAACACATGGTTTTAGGAGATAAGTTTGACCACATGTTAAGTTATATAAAATGAAAGAAATAATTAAATTATCCCTAAAAATGATATATATTTTGATATATCTGCTTAATAGATATAAATGTAAAATATAAGACAAATAAGGGTAAAAAGAAAATTTTAAGTATTGTTATTTGCTAAATTTTCTAATAAGACATTTTAATGAGATAATTTAAAAAATCTAAATAGACAAATTTAATAAGATAGAAAGTGTACTTTCGTGACATATGTTTGAGTTGGTGTTTGAATAGTTTTATTAAATAAAGAGTAATTACTAGATTTTATCGAATAAAGAATAATTATTTTAAAATTATAGGAAGGGCCTACAAAATCAAGAGTAAATTATTTATATTGACTAATTGTTTTTCTATAACCATTGAAGTGTACAAACTAACCACTTAGAATAAAAAATCATGCAAGAAAAAAGAGAAAAAATAAATAAATATCATTGTGGACAGTGAGAAATAAAGATAATCAACAATAATTTAAAAATATGCAATAATGATAGTTGTTGATCATGATTTTAAGAATCAGACCGATCATCGAACCGGTCATATTACCGGTGGTTTAACCGGTCGAACATGACAATGTTATAATTATTTAAAAAATTAAATAAAAATATAAAAACATTTAATAAAAAAAAGTTTTTATATCATAGGTCATATTCAAATGCAAGTATAACATATATAAGTTAAAAACCATAAATCAAAATCAATACAACATAATATTTAAGGTAAAACATATTAAATAATAAATATAATTATATTACGATAATCAAAAAATAATTTGGGGGCTAAAAAAATCATAACAAACGATGTCGTTTGATTTAATTTTTTTTAAATCTCACATAGCTACATAGAAGAGCATCACAAAAGTCTAAAGAGTAAAAATATGAAAACAAACAATCTCACATGACTAAGAAACATAGAAGAGCATCTCAACCGACTTCTATAAATAATAGAGGTAATTTGACATTCAAAATTATGGAGCATTTTGGTGAGCACTGAACGAACTATTCTTTCGCTTCAATCGAGATCGAATTTCAGGCTTCAATCGAGCTTCTAATTTTTTTTGAGTTCGAGCCTTTTTGAGTTCAAGTTTCAATATTATATTTCAAGTTCGAGTTGAACTTGATAATTTTTAGCTCGTGAGTTTTTAAGTCGAGTTGAACTTACTTTTAAAGTTTTTGAGTTCAACTCGGCTTGTTTAACAAACGACGTCGTTTGATTTAATTTTTTTTAGAAAAAAAACAGAACCGGTTTTCAACGGTACCTTCCGGTTCACTAGTAATGGTTTAACCGGTGTAGAATGAACCGGACCAGGTAGTGATTCCCGGTTGAACCGGCCGAACCAGTTCGATTTTCAAAACACTGCTGTTAATAATTATTGACTAAATGTTTTTCTATAACCATTGAAGTGTACAAACTATCTTTGATGATTACAAACCTCTGTTAAAATACAATCCGATAAATTAAAATAAAGATAAATCAATAAGATAATCAAATAAATGTCATCTAATTATAAAGAGATGACGTGAAATTTAATTTTTAAAAAATACTACTAGAGTAAATAAAAACATAATATGAAAGAAAAGACAAAGATAATCAATAAATGTCGTTTGTAGTATAGAAGCCATCGAAAGTTCGTCGGGAAACCAAAGTTTCCCATCAATTTTCGTCAATTTTCGGTCATCCAGCCTGCCCGCCCTTTGTCTCATCGCCGCCATTGCTGAAGTCCTCTATTCTTTCGACCAAAACCCAGTCGATTTTTAAGCAGTCCGAAACCTATTTTTCGGTCACCCTGTGTCCGTCCATCTCACCCCGGCCAAAAACTCAACCTATAAAGTTGAGTGAGTATATTGAAAATTTTAAAAGTACGGTGAGTAAAAAAGAACCATAAAAGTTCAGTTATCAATTTGTAATTTACCCTAATTATTATTACTACGTGGAAATCCGATGATGCATGTTTAATAGTAAAATATTTCACGTCAACGAGTTGTTAGTGAAATAACGATGGAGTGACCAAAAAAGTTCAATCCATAAAGTTAATGAGAAAATTGAAAATTTTGAAAGTACAGTAAGTGAAATAATCGTAAGAAAGATCAGTTACCAAAGTTGTAAAAACTATTTTGAATTTAAAAGGAAGCCCAACACGAGACGGTACATAGTTGTTAAGTCAACGGCAGTGGGACCCACTTGGGCCACACGAATCTATCAGGCCCGGGCGGCCCAAGTTAGCGGTGTCAGTCAAACGCAGCACCACAACGTGTAAAGATCGGTAAACGTGGCAACCGTTGATTAGGTAAGTCCAACAACGGTTGTATTGGATGATGCTCTCAAGTCCCCGTCGGGACCCCACTTTTGAGGCGGCCATTTTTATTAGGAAAAAAAGATAAAATGACATTTTTAGTCCTTATACTTGATAATATTTTAATTAGATCCTTAAACTTTGTTGTCTACATTAATCCTGAATTTGAAAACTTTTATTCTATTTTCTATTAAAATTTTGATCAAACCCAACCAATCTCAATCCTAATTATATTAAGAAAGAAATAGAAAAGAAAAAAAATGCCAAAAGCATCTGATTTGGCATATTGTAAATGTAATAAGTAGCAATGGGAAGTACTTTTTATGAGATTCTATATGTTCTAATAATTATGCTATCAGAGTAATGTATTTGCATTCAAAAAAGTTGATTTAAAAAGGGATAAAATTTGGTCTAATGAACATTTCCTGTCACTTTATTTTTTGTTTACTTAATTGTATTAATTATTTTGAAAACAATGGATGAACATGTTGAAGTAAAAAGAAATTAAAAAGTGGAGCTGCAAAGTCATAAAGGTCTCCCAACTCTTGCAATATTTACAGTACAAGCCAAAAGCAAAGCACATTTGATTGTTGTTGAAGAAGAAGAAGAAAGTAAGAAAGAACCAAGGTCTTTGCTCGGGACCCACCTTCAATATCTGTGACTATGACAGAGAGATGGCTGTTTCATTTCTTCAGCTCTTATTCCGCTGCTCAAAAACCTCCACTTTTTTCTTATTTAAAATCTCTCAAGTTTTCTTTCTTTGTTGGGTTTCTCTCTCTCTTTCTCTCCGGAATTTCTCATTACTTTCTAAAATATTATTTATTTATTAGTAGTAGTGGTAATATAGTAGCGGATGGGGAGAAAAATGTGAGCTTTGTATTCTTATGGCCGTTTATGAATTCTCCCCCACAGGCAAAACAAAGTCTTATCTTTCACACCCTTTCAATCCCCAAGCAAAAAGAACATGGGAAGAAGAATCTAGGGTTTGACAACACCGAGTCCAACAAGGTCTGTTTTCTTTTTGGTGCCTTTCCCTTAGTTTTTAATGGAAGGGCTGTTTCTGCTTTGATCCTTGTCTGCTTTCTCTCTTCTTTCTTTCCTGTTTTTTTTTGTGCGCCTCTTAACTTTTAAGCTAAATTTGAAGTCCTTAAAGTTCATTTGGATACCTGAAATTGAATTTTGATTGATAGGTTTTCCTTGTTTTTGTTTAAAAATCGAATCTTTAGTGTGAACTTTGATGTTTTTGTGTTATTTTTTGGTTTAGGTGATTTGGGTTTGATTTGTGTTTCTGGGGTTTGGTAACATGGAGGAGGTTGAAGAAGCTAACAAGGAAGCAGTAAAGAGCTGCCATAGAGTTTTGAGTATTTTGTCTCAGCCTAAAGGTCAAGTTCCCTATAGAACTTTAATGGCGGAAACTGGTGAGGCTGTTTTTAGGTTCAAAAGAGTGGTTTCCCTTTTAAATTCTGGTTTAGGACATGCAAGGGTGAGGAAGATGAGGAAATTGGAAACCCCTTTGCCTCAAAGCATCCTTTTGGATAATCCACACCATAAGTCAGCAGATAATTATCCATCCAAGGCTTTGCAGCTTGGTTACCTTGAAAACCCATCTTTGGAATTGGGTTCAAATGGTAAAAACTCTCTTCGACTCGCCCAACAGGCACCGGCCGGACACTACGGTTTCCTTCACCAACAACAGCAACAGCTGCAACAAAGGTTACAACTCCAACAGCAACAGCAAATGAAGCATCATCAAGCGGAAATGTTGTTTAGGAAGAGTAATAGTAGTGGCTTGAACTTGAAATTCGATAGCTCTAGCTGCACACCTACCATGTCATCGACTAGGTCTTTCGTTTCTTCGTTGAGTATAGATGGTAGTGCAGCTAACTTGGATGGTGGGAGTGCCTTCCATGCAATCAGGGTGCCTTGTTCGGCCAATCAGGGTTCCCAACAGAAAAAGAAGTGTCCTGGTAGGGGAGAAGATGGTAGTATCAAATGTGGAAATAGTAGCAGTAGATGCCATTGCTCCAAAAAGAGGTTAGAATTCCGTTTTTCCGATAATTGCTAATGTATACTTTTACATGGAAGGTGTTTGATATAGTCCTTCTTTTACCTTTCTCCTCCTTAATTGGTTGTGCTCCATCCATAATCAGGAAACATAGAGTAAAGAGATCGATAAAGGTGCCAGCAATCAGTAACAAGCTTGCCGATATTCCTCCCGATGATTACTCTTGGAGAAAATACGGGCAGAAGCCAATCAAGGGTTCTCCTCACCCTAGGTAACGATCACTATCTTTTATATGCATCACACTGAGATTTGATCTTGTTGTGTGAACCCGGTTTTGCTTGTGGAATTAATGGAACTCACTGACTAATCGATGTTAGTTTAGTGTCTATTTTTCTAATTATCACCTCATTCCGGAGGAAGTGTTGAGGACTTGAAATGGAGAAATGAAGAGCATTTCTTCCTTTCGTTTTTTGGAACATGCATATTTTTTGTTCAGCTATAAATTTGTAGAGAAAGACTAGTAGTACCGAATAACAGCCTATTTCCGCTCGATGGTATTAGATCAGAGTAATGCTTTTAGTGCACTGTCAAGTACCTAGCCTCGATATTACAGTGTTTTAAGATTTCGGTTCTGTTTTCATGTTTACCTTCAGACCAAGCCAAATGGAGATGCGTATTTAAGTCTTCATGTATATTATTTAAGATGGTGATTATTGGTTGTTAATTTATTTGCATGACGTGGAATGTACCGAAATGCATTGACAAAGGAAGCATTTTCTTTGCTGGTGCAGGGGATATTATAAATGCAGCAGTCAAAGAGGTTGCCCTGCAAGGAAGCATGTAGAGAGGTGCTTGGAAGAGCCATCTATGCTTATTGTTACCTATGAAGGCGAACATAATCATCAAAGGTTACCATTGCAATCGACGACAACGTAGTCTCGCCGAAAACTCTTCTGACATTGTTGCAAGCCTTCGATGTTTAATCTGGTACCTCTATTGAAGACTTGCTCTTGTACATATTTTGCATGTTTTGGGCATGGGATGATATACTGGAGCAGTTTCGTTTTCTTTTCTTTATTCCATTTTCTCTATTAGGGGTGGCATTCCAACCTTGACAATTGTGGTTTTAATTGTAAGGCTATGGTGGAGCAGAAGGAATGTTAAACAAAATTGAGAGATCGGTAGATCAGATTAGAATCTATACGCAGCTCAACATATAAAATTATACAACTGAAAAGGAATTTACAACAATAGTTGGGACCTAAAAAAATTCCCCAAGTTTCTAATAACAACAATAATAACAAATGCAAAGTCAAAGATTCAATCAGGATTTATAGTAGATGAAGATCCAATATGTATAATTAACGAAGCAAACACATTAATTTGTTACTACTAGTTCACTACAGCAGATATGGCTCAAGGGAAGAAATGGATAGCTTAAGTAAGTTCTGTTCTAACTTTTGAGTACTCATTGTAAGAAGACAAGCAGTCAGCACTAAACAAGGTGATCAAAATTCAATAACATACAATAAGGCACATGCAGAATCTTCACTTGAGAGAAATAAACCTGGATGAATGGGTGGCACCGATACCAGGCCTTCCTTGCTTGACGGGCTTGTACGAAATTGAGAATTCAGCCAAGTAATGGCTAATCATTTCGGGCTTGATTTCCACTTGATTAAAAGTCTTTCCATTGTATACACCAATTATACTACCAATCATCTCTGGAACTATAATCATGCCGCGGAGATGTGTTCTAACAGGCTCGGGTTTCTCACCAGGTGGAGCCTCTCGTTTCTATTTCAAAACAGCATAACACCATTCTCAGTACAGTTGCAATCTAACTTAATTTTGATTATTAATCTTAGGATGGTAAACGAGACGAATTGCACCAAAGTATTGTTGAGTTCGACTCAGACTTTAAAAGTGTTAAATTGAGTTTAACTCTACTTGAAAATTTAAGAACTTAAAATTGTCCAACTCAACTCAAAATTTAAATAAATATTTGAAACTCGAATTGAAAATAGAATTTAACACATATAAAATCACCAGAAATTGCACGAAAATATTCATTACAAAGCTTATACAACAAACTAACAATGGGAAAAAGAATAAATTTTTCCATGGGATACAACTCAAGTCATGCTTAATTCAATCAAGGCCAAAAGTACACCTAAAATGTCCAAAACACGTCAAATTCACCCTAATTCCTCCCGACTCCATTCCTTTCTTCCCCTCAAATATTGAACTGTCGATAGCGCCTTATCCAACGGTCCATATTTAAACTTAAAGACAGAGAGAGATCAGCGTGGTAGTCGTCTCCACCAATCAAGTTTCATCTTACGGATACCGTCCCTACTCCATAAGTACTTAAATCAATTCATTTTCATCACCTCCCTTTCACGATCAAATTTACCAGTAAATCGTCTATTTTCCCAATTTCTCTCGGAACCCTAATCACTCTTATCGATCAGTTAATGGCCACCGAGGAGCCGACAGTTGGGTAGAAGCCGCGCCGAGGACGGTGGAGGATAAGCATGAAGAGGCCAAAACCGGTACTAAATCTGGCAGAGCAAAGAAAGCTAAAGAACCCAACCCTAAGAAAGCTGAGGCTCCGAAGAAACCACGAGCACCTTCTACTTATCCTACTTTTGAAGAGGTATTTTGCGATTCATATTGTACTATTATTGTTTGGGGTTGATTATGTGTTTTGATATACGATCGGCTTTGTTATAGATGATCAAAGATGCGATCATTAGTTTAAAAGAGAGAACTGGTTCAAGCCAGTATGCCATTACTAAATTCATTGAAGAGAAAGAGAAGCAGCTTCTTGGGAATTTTAAGAAGCTCTTGCTTTTCCATTTGAAGAAGCTTGTGGCTGCTGGGAAGTTGACCAAGGTTAAGAATTCTTATAAGCTTCCTCCAGTGAGGTCTTCGAAGCCTGCTACTCCCGCTTCTCCTCCGGCTAAGAAGAAACTGGCTGCTACTAAGGCGAAGTGTATGCCTGCAAAATCAGGTTCTAAAGCTCCGGTTAAGAAGAAAACTGCTTCTAAGCCCAAGAGCAAGCCGGCGGCTAAACCAAAGGCTAAGCCTGCTCCTACGAAGACAAAAGCGGTTGCTTCTGTGAAGCCTAAGACTACTGCAGCTACCAAGGCTGCAGCCAAGCCGGCTAAGGCTGCGAGGACTTCAACAAGGATGTCTCCGGGGAAGAAGAAGGCGGCTGCTCCTAAGCCTGTTGCGAAGAAGGCTCCAGCGGCTAAAAAGGCTCCGGCTAAAAGCGTAAAACAGAAGAGTGTCAAGTCACCTGCGAAGAAAGCCGCGCCGAAGAGAGGACGGAAATGAGAGAACATAAGCCTAGTCGACGTAGGGATAGTTTTGTAAATTCGAGTGAAGCTTAGTGGGTGTATTTGAGTTCATGTATACCGAGATAAAATATGTTCTTTTACACTTTTCTGAGTTTTGTTTTTATTATGTTAAATTTCTATTTTCCTTCTAATGCAGATTCTAGATGCGATTTTCAGTTGAATAAATTTTAAGGTGAAATTAAATCTCTGATCTTTATCTCTTCGTCCTATATTTCTTCTCGCTGAGATGATAAGGGTTTTGTATTCAGGGTTGCTTGCTAAAGTAGTAATACGGAACAATGGAAGGGTTAAAGCTCTCCTCTACAGCTGCACCGATTTGAAACATGGAAGATAAGGTTCAAGGTTAAAGAACTCTTTTGTTGTAGTTGTGCATGTCTTTAAATTTGGTGGTAATCGAAAGCATGCTCAATTTGCATTAATTGAATTGCGAAATGAGATTTTATTTTGGTTAAGTTGCTGCCGTAATTGCTCCTACTGTAGCTAGCCAGATTATTTGAAACAATTAATGGGAAAATATTCTATTTTTCAGTTCTAAAGCCTGAACTGAGCTTTAGCAGGTGACAAAAATTGTACACATATGCTTCATGATGTCAATACATAGTTAGCCATAAGTGAATATTCATAAGCCTGAAACTCAAATTAGAGCTTTGCCATTCTTTCCACTTCCTGGATGGTAAACTTGAGCTCCTTTTGAATATTTAGTCTAGAAGGTGATAGCACAATGTCTTTCCAAATTGAACCAGCTTCACAAGCCGGGTTGGGGTTTTTGTATAGTTCATATATGGACTCGGCGTTTTCATTCAGCCTCCCCACCTGCTCTAAACACCCAATCTCATCTGGATCAACTAGCAATGTCCTTTCTCTGTCTTTCCATCCTATCAACTTCACAAAAATTGTTATGTTAATATTGCATACTTGGTTGCTTGGATTAATTTTGCGAGCAATGAAAGTTCCTGCTCAGTTTTATTTGTTAACTCCTGCATGTTGCAACTTTCTCTAGTGGCATCTGGAGAAATCAAGATTGAAAATGTGGGATAGTTAATTCACCTTAGGTGGACCTTCCAAAGCGTTGGTGGAATAGAGCCTAGCATTGTCAACCAGTTGGCAGTATGTTGGAAATGCATTTGCAAATCTCTTGTGGGATTTCAATTGTGATTTCACCCTCACAGCTCGTCTACACATTATAGCTCTCCTGCAAATTCCGAATTCCTTGATAAAATCAGTATCTCAGGAGGAAAAGGACTAATTACTAGGTAGTTAAAGAATGAGAATTAAGCAATGTACCTTATGCCTCTAATAACTGCTAAATAGGCATCGCAAACAACCCCAACGAGCTCTATTCTGTATGGCTTCCTCCTTTTCCCTCCTTTTGGTGATTGATCATCTTCTTCAATCTGTTCCCAGTAATTCTCAATTACGGTCCCATCAGGTTCTTGCCTGTAACCAACCCCCATACGATATCGCCGGCGATGGACACATCGCGCCATAGTTATTGTTTGAAGAACAAATGGTATCCAGGAAAGTGTTCCGTCCATGATCACATCCCGCCCTTCATTGAGTGCTGTCACAAGTAGGGATGCTGCTGCATCTGTAGATGATTGATGCACCTGTTTGGAATGATTGTTAAAGCCAATAACTCGATTACAAGAGCAACAAAAACCAAGTTCCAGGTTGATGGCACCATAAGAAGCATTCATATGGTTATCAACTTATTCATTTACCTGTGTGGAAGTTTTTTTTTCCTGTTGATTTGTACATATAACATGGAGTTGTATTTTTGGGATTTATATGCAATTGAATTTAGTTGGTTTGCTAAAGAAACGATGGGGGAACTACATGTTCCTAAAGTTGATCAGGCTGAGAAAGTGACTCTTACTAGTTCAGCTGTATGAACCATGTCCGCATGACCTTTGGAGCTGAGGGCTCTGTATATGACATCGGATTCTTTGAATGCATCTGCCTCAATCACAACTGCATTCGCCGCTGCCTCTGCCCAGAAGGGTCTGCCATTTTTTTACTCACAACACTTGATAAAACTTCATTGTAAATTGCTCATGATTATTAATAATTTCAAAGCAAACTTTCTAGAATAGTTATACATTCAGGAACAAAAGGAAACTAATTGTCTGCCATGTTACCCTCTAATTACTTGGGGATGAGTGTCTGATATAAGTATGTGTTCGACATTGTTATGTTCATATATTTAGAGGATTACACTTCCATACCTTTGTCTGAATATGTGCCAGAAGCAGGTTTCAGACACCAGTACTTAGAAAGTGCCAAGTTCAAGTAACTAGATTGTGAATAGACATGTATTATGCTCAGTACTTGAGTACGTTTTTGATATTGAATACAGGTTTCCGACACAGGCTTACTCTTTGAGAATGTCCTTAAGGACTGTACTCTTGCCGGCTCCCATTCCACCTCCCATGAGTAGCAGCACCGGACTTCTGTCACTGTGAGCCACCGGAGCCATCACCTCCGTACATTGATAATCATCAGATGAGGTGAGCCCCATTGCTTTCATTTCTTCCACCAATGTATTAAAAACTCTGGCCACCTTCAGGTGTTTGGTCACCCTCTCAAATCTTTGTTCCCTATATCGGAAAACCAAAGTTTCTTTTTGAAGAATCACTAGTCAGGAACGACAAAAATGTTAAGAGACTGTATCTAGGTTACTTTTTAAGTTTTTAGAATCCCAAGTTTCTTGCTGTAAAAGAATATAGCTAATGTTAATTTCTTATAGTTATTGTTATGATCACACTATAACATTAATTAATAAATAGAACATGCCCAACCTAGTTGCTGCCATGAAAATCTGCTTGAGCTTTCTCTTTGGTGCAGCATCGGCACTTAATACCTGAAACAATGCGGCGTAAAACAAGTCACTATATGTTCCCATTCGAATTCGTGTGTCGGATATAGTTTTGTTTTTGATATAGGTATGTTTATTTTATGATATATATGTATTTTTATTTTGTTACCTGACTAATCATGATATCTGCATGGCTCCAATGAAATGCAAAATAACTAAGAATGCATCTCTCAAACTCTTCCACGAGCTTAACGTACAACGAATCTACGTCGGGTTCATCGGAGAAATATGAATAAATATCATCTTCACAACTTTCGCACTTCCTGATGTATTCTGCTGCTAACTTGCAGAGCACTGGACAAGCTCTTCTATCTTTAAATCCCATCTGTCTAGCTGAGACATACCAAAGAAGCTTCAAAAGATTCACAAGATTCACTTGTAAATCGATAATGAAGCCAGGACAAGACATGGGATCGATATTACCTACGTATTGCTCAAAGGTCTCTAGCATTTCGAGACGACCCCAGCTCGTGTTCCTTGATCGTAGGCGTGGAATGATCTTTTGATCCCTTAGGTTTTTTATGTGATACCGCACCGCCACTGCTGCGATGATCCCCATTGATGAAGCAACCAGGATCTGTGTTACCTGTGTTAACAAACATTGAAAATAAACACTATCAAACGAACGATTTACATATATTAACTTATGTATGAATGTATGTGTTACTTAACCCCTCGGCATGTCTTGAAATTCAAGAAATTAGAAATGTGAGGAAAGTCTGAATCTGATGATAACAAATTTGCCATTACTCTTGGCCTTGAAGATGCGCTTGTTAATCGTTATATTTGTTTGGAGGATAGATGGTTTCATGGATCTTCATTGAGATCAAGACCCAGCACTGACACATGTTATAACCTTATTCCCTGCTATACCTAAATGCATGCCAATGCTAGCATACATTAATTTCCCAAATTTTTTGTGTGAAAAAAAGTAATACATGAAAAATTTGTAAAAATAGTTGGACAATAAAATATAAAAACATAAATTTTTTTTACTTTTTATAGTTTACATCTATTGTAACCAATATGATTGGAAATACTATTTTTTTTTTATAATTCTGATTTTATTACCCAAACAAAGTTAAGATACAACCAATCAATCAATCAACATAAAAAACAAACAGCCTATACAAAATGATCGGTTAGCCTATACCCAAGCATTACAAAGCTTTAAGTTAATACTATCTAGTCTATTAATATTAGTTCCCCTAAGACGGATTCCAACGACGTCTTTAACCTCCTTTAGCAAATAGTAGATCGTTCTACTACGTCCTTGAAAAATTCTTTGATTTATCTCTTGCCACAAAAAGTAAATAGCTGCAGTCAGGAAATTTTCAGAATGATAGTTAGCAAAGACCTTCCTTTCCATAAGGAACAAACCTTTGTTACCATTTCATCCCATGGTAAGAAAGTGGACTGCATCCCATTAAGGTTCATAATTAAATTCCAGAGATCCACTGCCAGTGTACATTGTGAAAAAAGATGGTCTCTTGACTCGTAAGAATTGCTGCAATTAACGCAAATATTGTCGTTGCTAATTCCCATTCTAAGAAGTCGGTCTTTTGTAGGTAATTTGTTGAGCAGAGCCATCCAAGCAATCAAGCTAAACTTTGGAATATGCAATGGAAACAAAATGAGTTTGTGCCATATAACTATTTATTTTGTGTTGTCCTAACCCAGTTTTTTTTAGTTTGTATTGTAGTTCATTTGTTTCTTATTCAACACCATTACATTTACATTATAACTAGCCTATGTGTAATACTCTCAATCTCTATTGTTTATGTAACTTTTAAAGTTTATGTCGTAGAGATTGATATTTTCGATTAGAATCTATATCAACTTATAAAATATCTACGTTGATAATAGATTTGTGTTCTATTTTTGTAGAAATAACATAAATTGATTCACGTTAAATTTAATCTCTTATATATATATTTTATTCTACATTAATCTCGTTTTAATTATTTTACCGCTTACAAATTACCAAGAACTTCAATGATTGCAGGCCTTGTCATGGTAGTTCATAGGATCATGTTGACAATGGGAAGTGGGGAGAACTATTCTCACAGAATGGGATGGCATCATAATTAGACTACAGAAACAGACAATAATCTTGAAAAGAATCTAAAGTCTAACACCTACCCTAATCACCTAACACTCTACAAATACATTGAAGTTTGGATCCAAAACTTCGATCAAAGTCCTCATATGCCATACCGATAAGGACCCACTACCGGAGACGACAACCCATGCCCATGGCTGCTCTCAAAACCACATCAAATTCAAGGGTTTGTTGCCATCTGAAGTTTGACTGTAGTCAAGTCCTAGGGCCGGGCTCTGGCCTTGGCTTTCAAACTAGCTAGGTCCTTGTTTAGTGTTCGGCTGCAAGTTCTTCATGATATAGGGGTGCACTGTTGATCGGATCTTTCTCATTGTATTGATTCATTTTTCAACAGATTATTGCTCATCTTTCTCGGCTTATTCATGCAACCGTATCATATAAGTTGACATTTTTGGCCAACGTTACAGCTGAGGCAGATGTAATGATAAACTGCATGAGTTATTTCTCAATATTATACCATGGAACGAGCTTATACCATGGAACGAGCTTCAGTGGGGTCAGTCTAGCTACTTGCTTCTTATAACAATGCCCTTCATGTGATTGTGATGTCCAATAAAATCTGGCTTTTTTCTTTTGCATGGAATGCTATTTATATATATTTCCAAAATATAGTAAAAATTAATTTTCGATAAATTACACTAGGCAATTTATGTTTTGTGTCATTAAATTTAATTTCAATTTTTATTCAAATCAAATTCTTTTAGTTTAATCAAGTTACACCATATAAAATAGACGCTCGAATCCGGATTCTTTAAAGTGAATAGCAATTCCTTTTACTTTGAAATCACTTATATATTCAAAATTACTTAACTAAGATCATCGGTAGATTTTCGCTGTTATAATATTCACTGCATGACTTTGTTCATATATATGAGAAATTGTTTGATGCAAATATTGTATAAATTGTATAAATGGGTGTCATTGGACAAATTTGAATGATTTTAAACTCTAAATCACAATCTCTAAAATTAAACTTAAACCCTAAATCTAAATCCTAAACCGTCATATGTTATCGATAAAACGCCTTCATTATATGGGATAATAATCCTATGTATATACTTGATAGCTCTAGCTTTAGATAATGCATGGGAAAAGATATCACAAAATGGGACACATATAAGCAGACAAGTTCCAATGGTGGCTCCCCCTCCCCCTCTTCTTTTTTGGTTTTTCTTTTTCACTTTGAAATCATTGATCTCCAATCTGATTAATTCTCAAGCAACTCCTATCATATCCCACAAATGAACTTTGATTCCAATTTTTTCAAAATATAATACCACTAGTTACCACAGTTTATTTGACTGGTGACATGAATGGTCTTTTCAGTATCTCATCTTTTACAAATTACTGCAGATAGTGCATGTTTCTTTTCAAACTACCTTCAGCCATGGAGCTACGACAGTTGTTGATGACAACATACTGACAACCTACGACAGATATGAGTTCTGTCCCACACGGAATTATGAGCTTTACATGAAATATACCAGAGACGAATTATAAAAATTTAAAGACAAAAATAAATTATCAATAAAAATGTAAAAAAATATTTAAAATATATGATAATTTGGAATTTTCAGTGGACAATTGTCATGTCCCCTCTCCATCTATCCATGGAAAAGGCTGTACACGACTATCCAAGTTTTGCAGTCAGATGTTCACATTGAGGCACAACTGTTATACGACAACATATTAACTAGAAAGAGGGAAAAAGAAAGGGAAAAAACATGGAGAAATAGGATGTAGGGTTCAGGGTTCTTCAACCTTTAATTTCACTGGCTCCAATGCTGCTCTGGATCGACGCTTGGGATAGTGAAGCTGTGAGAAGACATGGCTATAGAACGGAGTTGGGGGGAATGAAGCCTGGTCCGAAGTCATTCAGAAGACAAAACACAGTTAAGATTTCATATGAATGACTTCGAACCAGACAACATTCCCCGCAACAGTTCATGTTATAGATGCTCCTAGAGCATAACAAAGATGGTGTAATGAAGAAGAATTGGGAGATGTGGTAAATTCTCTTAGAGAGAGAAAGAGAGGGAGATAAGGAGAGATGGGATGCATTATTAATAATTTGTGATTTTGGTTTCGCCATGCATCACTTTTCTCCCATGGGGTCCTTATATATACGTAGTGCTGAAGATAGATTCTCACATGATTGATTAGAGTCACCCACCCTAAACCCCCTCGGTTTCACACACACAGGGTGCAGATCAGGCAGTTAATTTCCCCCCCCCCATAATTCATGTTTAATTTAGTGCCTAAGCTCGAGATTCATAATTGTCTTCCGTCTTAGATATTGTAATTCGAAATTCGTTCGACATAGTTCGAAAAGTTATTAGAGCAACTTTCTTAATGAACAATCAAAATTGAATAAAATAAGGGATATGTTCTGGATGCAAAGACTCTTGGACTAGGGTTTAGTGTTCGTACACTTTATACAAATGTACCTAGCTAGGGTTTTTTAGGATATGGGCGCCTTTTGCATCTCTTGTTAATTGTCTTCGATCATTGTAAAACTAGGGTTTTTCTCGTAGAGTGTTTTCCATGTAAATCCGTGTCCTTTTTTTTTTACCTTTTTTGATTTATGAGTAGTTAGTACTTGTCGGTAACATGTAACATTAATGATAAATTTATCTTCAAGACTCGAATCTAAATTCTCTCGCTAAAAATACAATATACCTCCAACAAGTTTGTTGGTTAAGTATTTTCCCTGTTGGGAACTCGTATAGATGTTTTCATTTATCTTTCCCATTAATGATTTTTAGGTCAACTGAAAGGAGTCACTAATTCTGAAAAAAGAGAGAGAGAAAGCAGTCACTTTTAGACTCATAGGCACAGGCAATTAGTCTAGAACCACTTGCTTTTTGAGAAAAGAATTTTGCACGGTTTAACTTTATATTGAAGATCATGATCTGCTACATTTTCAGTGCCATTACATATTTCATTTCTCTAGGAGAGAAAAAAATTAGAATTCATATGAAAATAACTTTTTGTTTGGCAGGTAAAAGAATGGTGAAGAATCTTCATTAAAAATGGAGGCATATGCAGCTCGTGTGATGCCAAGCTTGAATCCCAAGCTCGTGGCTGATAAAGCAAAAGAAACTAAAAGAGGAGCTGCAACTCAAGTAACTAAAAGGAAGAAAGGGAAAACATAAAGTGGAATGCAAAGTCACCAAAGCTAACTTATATTATTCAATTATTTTTCATTTCATTTCCTTTGCTTTCTTTTCTTGGTAGCCAAGTGGTAACATGGATTTTTTTTTATATATAGATATATAAACTAAGAAATGAATTAGAAAAAGGAAAAAATCTCTTAAGTACCTCTCAATTTTAAAATTAGATAAGTTAACCCCTTGCAAAAAAGTAATTTAATCCCGTTCAATGTTAAAATTAGTGAGCAATCAGAGTAAACACATTTGGTCGATCGATCAAGCTGTTTATCTTTGTTCTCTTATATTTCTTTAGGACA